CAGCTCACCCCACCCGGCTTTCTGGGCTTTCCTGCGTAAGGAGGTCTTCTTCGCGGCACTTGCGAACGCTCCTGGAACTTTAAACGGAGAAGGTTAAAGGCGAGGTATAAATCGAGCATGTACCGCTGCCGTGCCTGGCTCAAGCCGGGCCCGGCCAAATATGTGATTGTGCCTCACCGAGGCGCACGACTTGCATCAGAGATCGGAAAATACCTTTTCCATTGACGATGCCCATCCTATCCTTTACTCCAGATCCCATGCTTCGTCTTGCTCTCTTGCTCATGCGATATGAGCCAAAGCCTGGGATATGGCAACGCTTAAAGCGTAACACATACCTAAGCTTACCAGCTTGTTTTCGACTTGGTAGCGGAGCTGGCTACACTCTCGTGTGGCTGGCTCTCGCTCTGATTCCAGTAATCCACGGCACAACTTGGTGGACTACTACTACGGTGGAATACCATGTTGCGCCGGCTCTGCGAGGAGCGGAGCCAGTCCGCGATCGAGCTAGCGGGGCAACCCGCGAACTCGAGACGCTCTCTCCTACTTCACTGCGCCACTTCACTCCCGACTTCCACCAGATGCCAATCGGCAACTCGATCGAGAACGTGGTCACCCTGCGGGGCTACCCGCAGCGGGGCCACCTGCATCCCGTGCCAGTCAGGCGCCTCACGGCTACTACGCCAGAGCCTGACAAACCACAGCCTAAACCAATCACCGAAGCCGAAATGCACATGCACTGGATTAAGATAACTATCTTCGGCATTCTGTGGGTAATAATGGGATGTGCTGTGGGATACATGCGGCAGGGGATGGACGACACGCGTACTACTGGCCCCTCATGGGACCCTGCCGGTACTACGCCTTTTCGCGAATATGTTCGCGAAGTACATGCATGGTTAAACGTAACGAGCGGCAATATGACACCACCACAACAAGCTGCAGCACTACAACGAGGCCTTCAAGGTCTTGCTCGTCGTATCGCCATGCAGGTCCCCTCCCAGATCATCAATTATGGTGTAACTGTCAATGGACAGCCAACGGATGCAGTAACATATATACTGTACTTACTGAGCACCAAATTTGAAAATCTGGAAGATGAGCGCCAGCTCAACTCTGGCACTGCCCTTATCGACTTTCGCGTCGAAAGGGGCGAGCGAATCGACTCAGTGTTAGCTCGGTTCGAGATGGCCCGTGACGAGGCTAACTCTGTTGGATTTGTCATCCCCAACTTTCAGATCCTAACGCTGATTCTCTTCAGAGCGTTAGGCGTTGGCGCGTCACGAGCCCAACACCTGCTGGAGCCCTTTAATCATCAGATGCCCCGAACACAAGCAGACTATGACAGGCTGCTGACCAGGATGAGGAACTACGGACATGTCGCCGAGCGCTCTCCTGGCAACATAGCGGGTATCTTCACAGGGCACCACTCACATGCAGGTGTCTACGCCACGACTGCGGGGTCACCCGCTGGTCCTGGCGAGCCAAATCCTTGGGCTGACCCAGCCGATATGCCCAACGAGGCCACTGCCCTTTTAGGGCAGACTGGCCAGGCATCGGCAGAGGCAGCTGAGGCGAACGCCTGGTCGAACTACTCGCCAGGCGCCGCCTACACTGCAAGCCCGCCCTCGGGCACAACCCTCTGGGGCCAAGCGGAGTCATCCGCTCAAGGGTCTCAGCCACCCTCACCGTTTGAATCTGGCACTGACACAGACACCTCATCTGACGATGAGCACAATGGCATAGTCTCTGCTGGTAATGACTATCCAGCGGATGACACTCACCTTTCTGAACAACAAAGAGCGGAAGCCGCTTTTATGGCCTATCGCAAATCAAAACGCCGTTGGAGGCGCTTTATGAAGAAACCAGTCAGAAAAGTGAGACGTGCAGTACGCCGACATTTCAAACGATATGGAAAGGGTCGTGGCAAAGGGGGTCGCAGACGCCGTATGCATGGTAGGGGTATCACTGCTTTCCTCACGTCCTTAACTGATATAGCCTTTGAAGAAGTTCTTATCGGAGGCAAAGGTCGGGGTCGCAGGCGGACCTCCGGTAAGGGAAAAGGGCGGAGGGGCAACCCTAGGGACGCTTCTGGTAATACTATGAAGTGTCATACATGCGGTAGCACAGATCATTTGCGCGATCAATGCCCGAAGGGGAAAGGAAAGGGATCCGTACATTTGGCTCAAAATTCTTTTATGGATGACATAGACTACATTGACTACGAGTTTTACGTCAATCCAGAAGCGGCTCCCGCTGCGGGCTCCTCCACGTATTACGTGATGGCCCGCTACGCTGAAGCAACCGTAGCCCTGGAAGACTACGCAGTGACCCTCTTCGACGAGTTCCACGGCTGGGACGAGGTCGACGAGGTCGCGTTCAATGCTTGGTTCGGTCTTCCAGCGGGGCCACCCGCCGGCGACGAGGTCTCCGAAGCTGAGACCGTCCCGGCGACCGAGGAAGAGCTCACCGCCGCGCTGGCACCGCAGGTGATTGGCATGCCGTTGCTGCCAGACCTTTCGCGAGCTGGTTCGGAGGCGGGAGACGCTGATGACGAAATGCGGGGCCATCCCGCGTACTCTGACTCCGAAGAGGCGGAAGATGACTATAAGGACATGCTCCAAGAGCAGGTCGCTGAAGCAATCCGACTCCTGAGTGCGCCAGCACATCAGCAGATAACCATGAACGACCTGCTGTCGCGCCCAGGGGCTGCACGGCTGCGTCCATACCTGGATTCGGACATGTCGGCACCTCAGATGCTGACAGCACTCCAGGCTCTAGCGGGGTCACCCGCCGAAGTGACGCCAGCCGCAACAGCGGGGCCACCCGCTTGGTCTATGGATGTATTTATGCAAGGTTGTGATCAAATAGACCTTAACGACCTCACGATGGAGCAGTTAAACGACATCGGGTACTTCCGAAGCCCGTATCAACACGTGTTCATGGTCCAGGACAGCTCAGAGGACTCGGAGGACATGCGCTACGCCAAGAGGGACAGACGACCGTCGCCTCCCCGAGACTCAGAGCATGACGATCAAAGGCCAATGGAACGTGGTAGTGCGTCAGCGGGGCCAGCCCGCAGGAGGAGCCGTTCAGCTCCCAGACGCCCTACACATGATGCATCGGGCTATCCATACAGTACTGAGCACTCCGTTGGAGTATCCGCTCAGCATGTGCCGGATTGGTACATCAACTGGTACCCCGGCTATTCGATGGACGTGATCCGCCACTGGTATTCTAAGGAGTACTGCACCAAAAGGGACGAAACTGGCGTGATAATACGTACCAAGGGTGGCAAGACCAAAACGCCAGAGGCTTGGGACAAAAGGGCTAAGAAACAGGAGATCATCAACGATCGCAAGACATACAGGAAACAAGTATGTCAGTGCGAGCCCTTCAAAGGTCACATGCGCAGTTGTCCGATGGACCGCCCCTCCAGGAGTCCTCATCACGGTGAGACCCCGTGGAATTGGTCTCATGGAGATGACGCTGGCAACGTCCATGATCCTAACAAGGAGGTCCCTGGAGGAGGAAAGCGCATCACCGAAGCCGATCGCGTCCCTATGACCGAAGAGGTGGCCAACATCGTCAGGGAAAATTGGGTACAGCTTCCCAATGACCATCGCCTCAAGGAATGGAACCGCCGATTCCATAAAGAGGCGGGGTCACCCGCAGGATCCAGTAAAGAGGCGGGGTCACCCGCAGGATCCAGCAAAGAAGCGGGGTCACCCGCAGACGCGGCGCCAGCCGCTGGGTCCGCGGACGACGATTGGATAGCTGTTGCATCTGCTGCTGGGTCCGCCGCCGGCACTGACCACACCGAACTGAATGAAGAATGGGCGGCGGAAGACGGCTCAGAGAATCCATTCCCTGATGGATGCGCCTGCTGGTACTACAGCTCTTCGGCGCAGAAGTGGTTTTGCACGAGGGTAATTCACCGCCATGAAAATGGCAAGTACAAGCTGGCCATAAAAGGTACTGCCGACATCGACCAGATGAGGCAGGTCATCCATGATCATGGCCAGCCAGAAGGCCCTCCTAGAGACCCTCCTGGTCCACAACCGGGCAAGGGCAGCAGACCACCTCCAAGACCTGAAGCCGACTCCTCGTCTTCACCGACTCCTGCGAAAAGGCACCCGTCCAAGAGCCCCGAAGGCACACAGGGGCGGGCGAAGGCCAGAGGGATCGCCAAGACGGACGACCCTGAGCCGGTAGATCCTCCCGGTCTGTCCGTGACGGAGAGGAGGAAGGCTTTTGCTGGACCATCGACCCCGATGCCACCGGCGACCCAAGGCGATGTCAAGGATGAAGCTCGCAATCAGCCTAAGGCAGCCTTCCGAGGTGACTGGACTCCAACTCTGCATCAGCCGCGCCTTGCACCACGACCAGGTTCGGCACGAATGAAAGCACAGCCGAAGCCCGAAGCTGGGATGAGGTCGGTGCGGGCAGAAGCGGCCGCCAAGGCTAAGGAGGACAAGGGCTCTGCGGGGCCACCCGCTAAAGCGGCGCCAGCTGCAGCAGCGGGGACACCCGCAGAAGGCACTCTCTCAAGAGAAGAACGCTTCAGAGTCCTCAAAGAATTTGGCGACCGACAGAAACTAACCGATGATGCAGTTGCTGACCAAGGTCACCCGAACCCTGGCGCGGAGTCATCCGCTGGAGCTGCCTCGTCAGCCGAAGGCTCTGCTGGGCCACCCGTTAAAGCGCCGCCAGCTGCATTAGCGGGGCCACCCGCGCGCGGGCAGCCAGTAATGTCTGTTCTTAGGAACATCCCTCTGGGAGCCATCGAATACTGGCAAGGCATTGAAGGCAAAGGCCCGAAGCGCACCATAAACCCACGAGTCACTCGAGACGATACGGACCGATACGAGGTCATTAATTGCCCTGATCGTCGTAACTTCGAGTGCCGCAACGACTGGGAACGTGAACAACAAACCGTGGGAAATATGTTGCGAGACAGGCCGCCACTACGCGTTGCGCAGCATAAAGCAGAGCTCCTGAAGGTCATGGAGAGGTTCGGCATGGATCCGACTTTGCCGCGCGAAGGGCAAATGACCAAGGTGTCAATATGGTTCTCTACAGCCCTACGCCATAGTCCATATTGGAAGGACGGATTCAGCCGACACTTCGAAAAGATCAGCACTTTCGATCCATACGATGGCTGGGTTGTTGTTGACGATCTGCTGACAAACTGGACTGAAAATGATCAGTGGAAAGGCTATCGTGAAATGCACGAGGTGCTGATCAAGGGCAGGCCCCACACGTCATACGTGTATTGGGTGCTGCTAAACTGCTGTGAGATGATTGACCATCACGGCATGCAGAAGGGCAGGCTCCAGATGAAGTGCGTTGAGGACAGCATGCTGCTGCCTCCCAGGTTTCGACCAAAGGCACGCAGGCCACAGTACTTCATCAGAGCCACGAACGGCCACAGCAGTCCAGGCATCCACTGTCCCGAGTCGCTTTATAAGCCGATCACAACATGGATGAAAGAACCAGACGACCCAGTATATTTCATCCACGGGACACAGTGGGAGTATGTCAAGGACATCCTTGCTAATGGCCTTTCATGCCTCGCACAGGACAACCCTAAAAGGAAGGGGGGGCGCCAATTTGTGCACGGCTGCCCCTACCTCCCGGGCGACCCGAGGATTCAATCGGGCATCCGTCCTGACTCGGAGGTGCTCATATTCTGCAGCATCAACAAGATGCTGTCCAGTGGCTTCTCCCTATGGAGATCAGCAAATGACATAGTCATGACACGGGGCCACGACGGACGTATACCGCCCGATCATATCCTCCAGATTGTGAGCATTGCGAAATATCGGGTCGGCGAAGCCTGGAGCAATCCGCTGGCTTATGACAAGTCGCGGAGGCGGGGCCAACCCGCGGACAGGATTCGCACCGATGACTACCTGCCACTTAAAATGTGTGACAGAACTCTGGGTGTAATGGAAGATCACGCCATGTACCTAAAGGGCTGGACTAAGACGGACGGTCGCCCATTCAATTTGATCATGACCGAGCAAGATGTTGCTCCACGACCGTACGACACACAGACAGTCCTCATGATGAATGCCCAGGAGGACGAGGTCATGCCTGAAGCGGGGCCACCCGCAGGTGCGGGGACACCCGCGGTAGACACCTCGGACGGTTCATGGCAACAAGTGGTCACACCAGTAGCAACGGTAGCATCTCCTTGGAGGCCGGACCAGCAGACATGGGTCCAGGCCCTCAACAGCTATTTGACACCAGCCGACGTCTCTGGACTGACCGATCAGCTATATCGTGCTGACCCGTGGGCAGTGCATACAGGTATCCAAGACGCACAGCAGAGGAACCTGCGCACTCCTGCTGGGCCACCAGGCGTCCTAGGACCACAACCACAACGCCCTCCGCAGCAAGCTGGAGGTGCGAGGTTTGTCCCTATGGGCGGTTCAGATGGTGGCTCGCCGTTTCGGACTCCGCCGTCTGAAACGAGCGAGAACAGCTTGTGGCAAAGACTCCAGGCGATTCGCGGGAATCCGGCGCTCGCAGCAGCACTCCAGGCGACCACTCCCTTTGGCACTCCGAGGGGTAGTGAAGGAGGAGTGGCTGCGGGGACACCCGCCGAGCGAACGCCTGCGGAGCCACCCGCACACGCGGGGCCACCCGCTGACGGACAGCAAGGGTCAGACTATGAACGTCGGGCAGCCAACTTAAGAGCACAGGCTACCTTTCTGCAGCAACAAGCTGATAGAGTGCCCAGCCTGTTGCGGAACCGCAACATAGATGTTACGAATCATGGCGACTTTCGGCCTCTCTGGAGCTGGACTTCTGAAGATGCTCCAAATGCTGATCCCACGAATCCATATCGACAGGTGTTTATTCCAGGAATAGCATCACACCCAATATATGGATGGGACAATCATGGACCAGCAGAGGCACAGGCCATGGACGCGCCGATGTACCCGGAGTACTACGCGCAGATGAATAACACTCCTATGATTGCGGGGCCACCTGCGAACGAATACACTCGGAATCTTGCCAATGAGATGTTTCGTTTGCAGTTTACACGAGCGGTCGATGCGCAGTCTATGCCGCACTACGCCTACATGCCCACGCCGACGGACCCCGAGACCGTAGTTCAGCCAGCTGGTCTCGCGGTGCCAGCCGCTATGGGCAGCATGCCAGACTACATCCGCGACGTGCACAACACGCAGCAAGCGATACTGGCATCTAGGCAGCAGGCTCGGGACAACGCCAGGCTGCGCCAACAACGCGCGATCCAGAGAAGGATCGAGCGTGAGACCCAAGCGGGGACACCCGCAGACGCGGGGCCACCCGCTGAACGGACAGATAGACGGCCGCCACCGACGCCATATCGGGAGGGCGAAACCACTTTCGAGCGCCAAGCTCGGACTCGCCCAGACGTGCCTGCTCCAGTTATTTCAGACTACAACTTCACACAGTGCCCAATCTGTATGGACACCTACGAGATGGGCACCATAGTGTGGAGACTGGCGTGTGGGCACTTCTTCCACGATATATGCTGGGATCGTGTTGCACAGCAGCACGTCCGCAATCAGCGGCCAGGTGCGCCGAACGAGGCCCCCTGCGCTGTATGTCGTGGGCCGGGCATAGTTATAGCACATTTCCCATATGCTGGACAGCGCGACGCTGAGTCAGAACAAGCGCGCCAGCAGGAGAGGTACGTGGCAGATGCCCGGGAAATGCGTCGGCTACGGGAAGCAGTGGAGGCACTAGAGGCTCGAGCCGCACAATCGGCGGAGCCATCCGCACGTGCCCCAGCTGCACAGGCATACCCCTGGCCAGCGCCAGAGCAAGGCATCCAGATGCCAATCCTGCCTACGCTTCGAGCACAGGAGCCCCCAGCTGCGGGGCCACCCGCTGAAGCGGCTCCCGCCGCCAAAGCGGGGCCACCCGCAAATGGGCCTCCAAATCCAGGTTTCCTGAGGGCAATGGAGGCCAACATCAGGCGGAGTGGCAGGAGCGGAGGCGGGACTCGAAGGCCAACTGGATCATCCAGGACCTCACGTGTGGCAAGCCCGGTCAGCGCTAGGAGCCGGGCAAGCGCTGAGAGCGCGGAGGCAGCCCAGTTCCACACCACATTCATGATCGATACAGAGGGGCTGACCTATGCACGTGACGACACGGACACGCTGCCGCCAGGAGGTGAATGGATGTCCACACTCTCTGCGAATTATTGGGTTCTTGAACAGGAACCAATTACCGTGGAGGAGCGCCGCCAATATGAGCAGATGTGGTGCACCGAGTTAACCATGAGTCAATGGGTGCTTGAACAACGCCTGTTGAAAGGCACACTCGGTTCACAGATTACGTACCACACCGATGACCATGGTACAATGGCTCTGGCAGCGCGAAATGGGACATTCTTTCCTGACGAAGACGGTATGCCCTGCATCTCGTTCATGCTAGACATTGGCTCCAACGTGAACATCATTGGAGCCAATACGGCGCGAACCTTCCAGGAGATTATGGCCAGGTACAATCACAGACCTGCCATATGCACCCTGAGCAAGACCCTCTACATCAACGGTGTCGGTGAGGGTGCTGCGATATGTCGGAAGATGGGCAACTTCAAGATCGGGGTGCAATACGCCAATGAGGCAAGCCCCCGTATCGAGGAGTATGCCTCCAACATCGCAGAAGGCTCGGGTGCCAATCTCCCGGCCATCTGGGGCCTAGGAGCCATGGAAGCACGTGACACGATCATCGTGCTGAAGCCAGGCTACCAGAAGGTTATCTTCCCCAGCGGTGACTACACCCTGAAGCTGGGAAGGGGTGCCAAGGTCCTGAGGGCGAAGAAAACTCCCTCGGGACATCTCGCGATTCCCTGCGGTTTGTATGACGGGGCTAAAAGCCAGACGGTCACGAACACCTTCACAATCCGCAGCAGTCGAGATGGCTACACCGAGACGGAGAACGAAGAGGACCCCGTCAGTGCGGGGCCACCCGCCGGAGTAAGTGCGGGGCCACCCGCCGGAGTAAGTGCGGGGCCACCCGCCGAGACCACAGCGGGGCAACCCGCGACGGGACAGTCCATGACCGCCACGACTGATACGTACATTGTCGAGCCGTATCTCGACAAGCAGCTCCTGGAAGACACGACCCGTTTGATCGTGGACAGGACGCTGAACAGCTGGTGGGAGGGCCAACAGTGTCCCGAGGGGACCTGGCCACATATGAAGGATGCCCTGAAGTCTAAGATATTCTGGGCAGTCCAGGAGGCGGTGAATAAATGGACGCCTGAGAACCAAGCGGGGCCACCCGCGACACCGCCACCACCACCAAGCTACACGGGCGGAGGTTCGTCGGACTCTGCGGGGCCAACCCGCGTGGAGATCGTGAGCGTAGCCGCACCAGCGACTCCTGCGGAGCCATCCGCTAACAGCATGCCCCCGAGTCAGACGGCAACGTGGTCACACGACCGCCGCTGACGGGGGCAGGCGGGCGCGCCGGCGGCGCTCGCTTGCGAAGAGAAGCCGAATACCGGCCTCCTCGCGACATACGTTGGCCGCGCTGAGGCCCGAGAGGAAAATATCATTCAAAATGTCTTGTCATCGAAGATATTCGCACAGCTTGCGCTGAACTCCGAACCCGTGGATATATATGCGACCGGATTACCCATAATGAGGTAATGACTTCAACTGGAACCCAGTATTTGGGAAATTTGTTGGCAGGAGACTACAATATGTTGTGGGTGGCCACACCCTCTGATTGGTACGTTCGTACTCCAGGAAAGAGGGCGGGACCACATTATCAACGTATACAAAATCTCCTGATCAAAGCGCGTGCTCTGAGAATGCAGATAGTTATCCTGGGGCCACCCGGGTATTTCTGGAAACAGGGTCCGATCAAAGATGTTATCGAAGATTTGAAGCTAAGCATTATACGAATGAGACTCTGTCATTTCGGTATCAAGTTTGACCGATCCAGTAAATATCCCAGTGGTTCTTATATACAAGTTGCTACATCTTGTCCTCATATACCGATAAACTTATGGAAATGTACTTGTGGCTCACACAAGGAGCATGATTTGGATTGGTATGGCCAAGATCAGCAACGTGCCGAGTTTCGGTATAAAACTTTGGCTATCATTATTGCACGCTTCCTTGATCAACTCGATAAAGCCAACATGATCAGGAATGAGCGGAGTGCGGTACACCTCAGTGTGTGTACTCGCGTTGACAAAAAGGTCAGACACTACGTCCAATGTCCACAAAAGGGCCCTCAATGGGACCATGTTGTTCGTAGAGTCACGACCGACCTGGACACGAATAAGATCGTTCAAGATATCAGAATTCAGGATCAGCCAACTGGGTACAATTATGTAGCTCCATTACCTGATGGGGT